GTAATTTCTTGCTTATGTGGTAATATTTATTATAAGGTTGTTAACAACGTTTCAAACAATATGGTGCAAGTAAAGGGTTAGCTGTGAACCAAAGTGACTTTTGTTCTTTCCTGGAGGGAAATGTTAGAAGGATGCATTATTTTATCAAAGGCAGACTAGCAGGCTGCAAAGTGTCAGTTAAACTGTCACTGTAGCCTATTGTCAACAAAGGGAGTGGCTATGCTTGGGGCAGTTGCGGGTTTTATATTCAGAATCAAAGGCATCAAGGGGGTGTTTGGTTTTGATTGGTCATTTAATGGATGTTCTGCCTCATCCTATTGGCTCAAAATTATTATAGGCAAATAAGAGGGTGGATTGTCACCATAGCTGTAAGCCTGAGAGGAGGAAGTGAAGACCAAGTTGAAGACTACGTGTAATTTCATCTGGAGTGTAGTGAGATCTGTGCTTACTGGGGAAACAAAGGGACACAGTAATTGGCAAGGTATTGGTTAGAGAATGGAACTATAACCTCCTGAAAGCGACAATAACCAGTGCTATTTAAAGTGAAACCACAAGCCTTATGAGTAAACAAAGGTTGCACTCTATTAATACCTCTAGTTACGAACTTAATTCATTCCGGAGGTCCGTTCTTAACCTGAAACTGTTCTTAACCTGAGGCGCGCTTTCGCCAATGGGGCCTCTTACTGCTGCTGCGCCACCGACACATGATTTCCATTCTCATCCTGGGGCAAAGTTCTCAACTCAAGGGAACTCTTCCAGGTTAGCGGAGTTTGTAACCTGAAGCATTTGTAACCTGAGGCGTTTGTAACTCGAGGTACCACTGTATTGCAAAAAATGCTTCAATAACTGAATAATGCCTCCTTTTTAACTCAGATGCTCTGTGGTCCATTTTTGCTGTTTCGTCCCTTGTTATAGCTACTGAAAGATGAAGTGGTACAGTCATACCTCATGTTACGTCCGCTTCATGTTACGTTCTTTCAGGATACGTCCTGCGGTGACCCGGAAGTAACGGAAAGGATTACTTCCGGGTTTCGCCGCTCGCGCATGCGCAGACGCGCAAAATGAGGTACCACTGTACAGGAAAACAAAATGGTTTTGAGTTATTTGTTGGCAGTGAAGACAAAGTGAAAAAAGAGGGTCAAAGGGTTTAAAAAGTGGCTGAATACCAATAAAATAAATAAAATAAAATGCTAATCTAAGGGGGGGGGGGACCTTCTAGGCCATAAAGGGAATTGGTAGCTGCGGGGGGTGGGTGTTAACAAAATCCAGGCCTGAGCTGCCATAATCTGAAAGAATATCTCTCTTTTGTGGGCTATAACTCTGGTCCATTATGTTGAACAGCTCTTTGGTGCTGAGATGCTGTCCCACCCAAATAGAGGACAGCCTGTTGACCCAACTCAGTAGAATGGCAACACAAGCTGTAAGACTCTTGGTGTTCCATACTTGCACTCCTCCCAGAAGTGGCAGGAAGGTGCAGGAACATTTGGGCCTAATTTTTCCTATTGAAATCAATGGGACATTTAAAAAAGAAAAGAAAACCTGGGTTGAATTTTGGTTAGACTATGGCCATAGTATTAACACTGGAAATTCACATATGTATTTCAAACTGATCTTCTGCATTACTTTTACTGGTTTTGTTAACTCTTTCCCAGTTTCCACTTAATTGCAAGAAGGACAAGTACTTCAGTTCAGTTAAAAAACAACAACAAAAACCACAGAGCTTTCCCCTAAAATGTTAAACTGATACATTTTGTTATTGTCTTTCTTTACTTTATCATGACTGACAGCTTTACCATCTTTATCTAGTAACTGGCTCACTGGAATAACTTTTATTTCCTCTCGATATGCCTAAACATTTCTTATCTCTGCTGGCCACAGATGTCTCACTGATATTTTTAGCTCTTCTTATCAGTTGTCTGGCAGGTAGGAAGTGCAATTTTTACCCAATTTTATCATACATTTTATCTCTCTCCCTTTGTAGTAGTATTTATAGGTTACTTAGCTATTTTGTGTCTTAGTCAGTGTGAATAAAAGCACCAAGGTTTTTTAAACCTCAGTTTAATTATCCTGAGGAAAAATTCACAGCCCTGCAGAGGAGCTGAAAGCTTCCAGATGCTGTTACATGCACCTTGAATTGCCACATTTCCCACTAGCAATTGTTCTTGGTTGCATAACAATCCCAGCTGATATATTATTCCCTGCAACTTTACAGGAAGTATCTACTAGTATAATAGCCTATAACTCTGGAAGCAAGATAGGGATATCCCAAAATAAGGGAAATAGAGGAGAGATTGAGTTAGAATTAGAATCCCAGGGAGTGGGGAAGCAAACCAAGAGGTGAATTCCCCCCCCCTCTTCATGGCATGCACCCCTCCCTATCTATATAGCAACTAATGCCCATGTTCAGATCCTTTGCAAGCCCCATGAAATATACTCAGAGTCGAGAGTGGATTTCATGCTCTTTATTCAGCTCATAGTGGTGAGGAGGAATGGAAGTCCCCTCAAAGTATCTGCTTTATATACATTATTTACACAATGGGCTGCACGTGATTGGCTAATTCTGGAATTCTCCTGTAGGCCAATCAGGTTGTGGATTCACTTCCATCTGGAGCTGGATTGGGTGGCTCCTGCAGACCAATCATACTGCTGCATTGTTCTAGGACCAATCAGACTGCTGCATTCTGAATCCTATTGTCCTAGGACCAATCAGACTGCTGCATTTTGGATCCTATTGTTCTAGGACCAATCAGACTGCTGCATTTTGGATCCTATTCACCTCAGTACATAACACCCCAGTTCCAGACTCAAGTCCTAAACAGAAGCACTCCTATCAGGGGTTTGGAATACAGCGCCTGGGAAATTTTGTTACAGGTTCCCACTTATTTGTTTATACTCCTGCTCCTTAAAGCTCCAGCTCTGGACAGTCAGACAGCGACTTCAACCCCCCTTTTTCCCAACTTAGATCTCCCTTCCTGTCTTGCTGCTTCACAGACTTCTCATGACTGATAAATGCTATCTCTCCCCAAATGAAAACGAAGTAGGGCCTCCCTATTTTACCTGCACAATTTACTGTTGTGAGCATGCCTCTTCATTGGAGAAAGGGATGCCCTGAGCAGTGATTCACCCAGAAGGGCAGTGGGCAGCCTCCACTGGGTAATTCTGCCTCATTGGAAGTGACAGAATGTTAAGAACTTACCCTGTTGAGGTCATTTTGGAGAAGGCAAGGCAAGAGCAGTTAAGAGTCACAAAGACACAACAGGCAGCCTTCCTTGTGGGTGGATTCTTTGGGCTCACTGTACCCATTTAAGCAATTAAATGTATTATCACAGCACCTTTCTCTTACTGCACACCAGCATGAATACTTGGGAATGAATGTTGTATCCACACTACAGACATTCTGTGCCACTAAAAATATTACGAACTGAGATCTGACGAGGCGACAAGAATTCTGCAGGTTCCTAGACCGAAAGCAACTTACAACCAAACAAATAGGCAATAAACACTGTGATCCAGATTCAAAGTGTTGCTAGATATGCCGTATTCCAAACCTTCAGGAATGGCCTCCAGCACAGCACAATAAGCTCTAGTCACCAGGGGGTTACGGAGCTGTGAATATGGAGGTCTAGTCATGTTTGTGCCTTATATAACCTACATGTTTTAAGTCTTAATTGTTGCATGAAAAGGGTTAAGACCATAAAGTAAGTTGCCCCGCCAGGCTTACCTCACCTTGGGAGAAACTATTGATTTCTGCCAGTCTACCTGAGAAGTTCAGTGTGTAAAGACGTCTGAGCTGATTGCTCCAAGCTCAGACTGCATGGCTCTAACAAGCCTCACTTTGAGTTCCTATACCAATAATTTAGGAACATTCACCCCTGTAACTAAGCCAAGTTTCACTGCTTGTGCAACCGTTTCTGAATGTTCTATGGAAAGCATGAATCTGACCTTTGGAGAGTAAGGAAACCATTTTTAACATACCAAACATAGTCCTTTTTCTATGCCAGGGGAAGAAAATGTAGAAGGAGATAGTTTAGAGATCTAACAGCCTATGTTTCCATGCTTTACTTTGCTGCATATGTTGTGAATTTAAATCTCTGGTGGGGTACTCACACCAAAGAGTACTTGCCCCAAACCTGGATCTTGGCATTCAGGGAATTTTCCTTTTATATATATATATATGTGTGTGTGTGTGTGTGTGTGTGTGTGTGTGTGTGTATTCCTTACCACCAGCAATGCACTCAGAAGTACTTATACACACTGAACAAATCCCAGGTAAACTGGGTTCCTAGTTCTATGGCTTAGGAACTAGATGTCAGGATCAAAACCCTTGTCTAGATCAATTCAGCCATGTAGTTTTATTACCTTGTGGTTTTAGTACAGTTGTTGCCTGACTAGCTGTGATGACAATTCCTAGCAAGCCTACATAGGCTTGCATTAGAGCTTTATTACCTATTACTTTAGCTTTAGGCTGTTCTTGGGGTTTTGCTTGTTCTTTATTCCTCCCTGTCACTTTAGAAACCTGCCTCTTTGCTTGCTTAGCCCTTCTTGGAGATTTGAAATGGTTGTCAGGACTACTGCTTGGCTTGCTTGTATGTTGGGTTTTCTTGTAATGGCTTGGGAACCCCATGATATGCCCACTGTTTTGGGGTTTCCTTCTGGAATGCACTCCAGCCATTGGTTTCCTGGACAAGTTTGTCAGTGTTCCCCTGAGACTCGAAAATTAATTAATAGCCAGAAGAATTTTAAATAACATTGGGGGTAGCGTAATACAGTATAAGCTTGCAGTTCTTTGAATTGCAGTAACTGCTCAATATTGTTACCAGCGTTGCTTTAAAATTTTGCCACAGCTCTAGCTCCATTTAGCTTCTCTGAGTCATTTCATATGCTACCTCGATGGCAGGTACAGCAACAATGCGAGAGACAGAAAGGTAAATATGGCAGCTATTAGAAATGAAGAATATGTGAGCTGACATAAACAATCCCATTTGTTTGTTTCTCCACAGACAAAAAGGAAGTGAAGGTGGGAGAATATAATGCTATACTTGATTCACTGGAAATGATTAACAACACCATCAAATTCCACGGTAAGGCAGGAATATTGAAGAGAGCAAAGGAATGATACCATAGCTTTCTGTATAATTTTTATGTCACATGGAATGCAGCAAACAGAAATGTTTCACTACTGCCACAGAGTAAAACCGGCTCAATAATGTATTTAGACTGTGCCGCTTCAGACTGCAGGTTCGTATGCGTGAAATATTTTGTAATGATCCCACATTTAAAGGAAAAGTTCTTTAGTATATCAGGCATAGGCTTCCCCGTGAGAGAGAGGCATGCTGGGAGCTTCTTATGTAAAGGAACATTCAAATTTATGGCACCTATAGGCTGAAGTGGTACAGTCCGGAATCTACCACCCCATTCTTTGCAACCAGCAAACCAGCCCTTAGGTACTTTCAGAGAATCCAGTCCAATAGACGCTGAGTAAATCCATATCTGTGCATAGCACTTGGGCTTAGGTAATAATAATAATAATAATAATAATAATAATAATAATAATAATAATAATAATAATAATAATTTATTTGTACCCCGCCCATCTGGCTGGGTTTCCCCAGCCACTCTGGGCAGCTCCCAATCAAGTGTTAAAAACAGTACAGCGTTAAATATTAAAAACTTCCCTGAACAGGGCTGCCTTAAGATGTCTTCTGAATGTCAGGTAGCTGTTTATCTCTTTGACATCTGATGGGAGGGTGTTCCACAGGGCGCCACTACCGAGAAGGCCCTCTTTCTGGTTCCCTGTAACCTCACTTCTCGCAATGAGGGAACCGCCAGAAGGCCCTCGGCGCTGGATCTCAGTGTCCGGGCTGAACGATGGGGGTAGAGACACTCCTTCAGGTATACTGGACCGAGGCCATTTAGGGCTTTAAAGGTCAGCACCAACACTTTGAATTGTGCTCGGAAACGTACTGGGAGCCAATGCAGATCTCTCAGAACTGGTGTTATGTGGTTTTGAGGTGGTGATACTCCTGATGTCCTGCTGAGCTGTATCTTTTCTGCACATAAATAATGTGGAGCAGAATATGTGTTGCTATACTTCATATTGTTTTGTAAAGCCTGCAGTACATCACTTTGGTAGATAAAGGTAACTTTAAAGGACCTCAGTAAAATTAATTTATAGAAATCAAATGGCAATAGGGTTTGGTTTTGCTGTTATTATTATTGGCTGTGGTTTATTCCTCACAAGGGTATAATGTTGACTCTTTCTTTTCTTGCCGACATTTCAGGGAAAGAACCACCTAAGGACAGAACAATCATCCAAAAGCAACTTCGCAAGATCTCCCTGCCTCTTTACAGTATTCTTTCAGCACTCACGATCCTGGGAATGATAATGGCCAGTGCTTTTTTGTTCTTTAACATCAAAAACCGAAATCAGAAGTAAGCAGCTAAATATTGCCCTGTTCCCTTCCCCCTCTCCATTGTCTCTCTTGTGAGTCCTTTTAATTAGGACAATTGTCATTAAGAGATCACGTGGTCGGTATTTACAAAGTTAATTGGAATGATCCATTCAAAGTTACTCACTACTTAAGACTGCAGTGTATTGCATTTCCAGGGGAGGCTGTCTAACTGAACTCAGCGGGACTTACTTTCAAGTAAACATGCAGTTAGTTGATCAGAGTGGGTGTCTTTTTATTTCAGAGGAAGAACTAAGCACATACTTAAATCTCTTCTTATAAAACTGATGTATAATAGAAGCGCCTACCTTTGTTTGGATCATGCCCAATTTTTTATTTTTTTTATTTTAAAAATTCTGCTTAATTGATGTTACTGTACAATATCTTTGTGTTGGAACGTTTTATTAAATCCTTTTATTCTGTTAGATCAAAATTAGTGTTTTCCACTGTGTATTATTAGCATAATCCCCAGTTAATTAAACCACTGTGTAACATAAGGAGTTCCTTTAGTGAAGGAGATCAAAGACATTTAACCATAATAATGCTCATCTAAACTTATTTATAAAGCAGCACAGAGATTTGCATATTTCTACAATAAAGCTGCTTCAGTTATCTTGCCTAAGATGGTTCATTCTTAAGTTTCACCCAGACAGAGCCATTTAGGTGTGCTGAAATAGTGCACCCAGCACCTGCAAATCACTTGGGGGCTGTCCAACCCTTGGTATTTTTCTTTTCTGATTTTATTTTGTGTTTGCATGCATCTTTCCATCCACCAACATCATTTTCTTTTTCCAAATTTGTTTCTCATGGGGCATACATTTCAATCTCCGTGTATAAGCCTGAGTTCCCAGTCTATGAATGAACGTAAAGTCTTCTAAATGAATAATTGAAAACATACGCAGTTTTTAGAAACAACTGGTTAATTTTGTTTACATGTGACTGTTTATTTGGTGACTATGGGTTACACGTATTCTCATGTTGCCGATATTCAGCTTTAATACAATGCATTTATGTTCATTTTTGTTCTCATTTATCTCCCTTTGTGGGGAGGGTATCTCCTCCGCCCTGATTCTGTTTTTGTCCTCCCAGCTTTCTTGACCCAGACAGCTATGAAATGAACTACATAGAGTGTTACAGGACTGGATTTCATAGTGGTGGTCATTGTTGCCGCATCTGTTAGGATTGTCCTACACTTGTGTAGGACCCTGGTAGAGACACATGCCCAACTGGCATGTTCTCTCCCTCCTGGTCGATCGTTCGGGAGCTTCAAAAGCTTTCTTCAGTCCGAACATCACAGCGACTGACACCAAAAGGCAGTAGCACGCTTAGGATCTTGCAGAGTATTGGCGGTTCGCGTAACAGACTCAATAGCTCAGCATGTTGGCTAAACTACGTTTATTTACATATAATACACTCGGAGCATTCTGACTTAGCTCCTTCCTCTTCCTCATCAGACAGCAAAGAGAAAAAGAACAAAGGACAATAGTCCCACTTCACAGAACACAGTAACAAAAAAACTCTGTCACTGTCTCTGTCACTTCCCACTCTGTGGAATGAAAACATACACCGTCATGTGATAGACAACAATCTCATGACTGCAAACACGGAGTAAGAATCCTAACATCCTCCCTCGATTCATGAACCGTGTTGTAGTCATGAGTGTAACTGCAACAAACATACAGATGTCATACTCCTGTATCACCCATTCCACTCTTGGAACTACCTGCAACTGGATTGGCCTTGGGCCTTACCATCTTGCACTTCTGACTAATCTTGGCGTCATAGTTTTCTTGACTATCAAGAAGTTTCACACCTGGCTAGTGGCTCGACACAGGTCTTGGAACCTGAAGTCTTGGGTTGCTTTCTCATGACTATCTTCCGGTCTTCTCTCCACAGGTTGATAAAGATGTCCAGTCCCTACATGAACAACCTCATAATTCTTGGAGGGATGCTCTCCTATGCATCAATATTCCTTTTTGGCCTTGATGGATCTTTTGTCTCCGAAAAGACATTTGAGACGCTTTGTACCGTAAGTCACTCTGAAACGTTTTAACAGAGATGCTGTTGTTCATGCTTTGCATGACACAAGGCATCCCACATACTATAGTCTGGTTTTGGTACTGTTAATCTGCACAAAATAGGCTTTCGGTCTTGGGAGGAAACGGGATTCTTTTTGGGCCAGTCAGCCACAACACTGAGAAATATGGAGCACTTGCATGAGTTTTCAGTGAATGTTTAAACTCACAGTCTTGAAGTTTAGGTGTAGTATTTAGGGAGGGAAGGATTCTGTGTCAAGAAGACGGTAATCAGGTGTTTTCTCCAAGAAATGTTTCTGTGCAGCAATGATCTAAGTCAGGCATGTCCAAAGTCTGTTTTGGGGGCCTAATCCAGCCCGCCAGGCAGTTTAATCTGGCCCCTGTGGCAGTTTATTTCCTGGGGTAAAATCCTAAAAAAAACCCTCAACAACTTCAATCCTAAAAAAAGCTCAACAAATTTGGGGTAAAATCATTTAAAAAGCTCAACTTCAATCTTTAAAAAAGGTCAACAACTTTGGTCGGCCCTCATGGCCCTTCACTTCATCAAATCTGGCCCTCTTTGAAAAAAGTTTGGACACCCCAGATCTAAGTAATCTCACATTCTTCTCAAACTTTCTCATATTGAGGAAGGGAAGTTGGTTAAACATTTGATTGATCAGAAAGCTGATGTGACCCTGACAAGCTTGGCTTCAGACTTTCGTTTTCTGACCCCTTTCAACCCGGCCTAGTTCCAGGATGTGTGCGAATATGATGGGCCCAGAGGTATAAGAAGTTCAGGGTATGTCTTTATCTCCATGTCCTGTCTCCTAGTCCTGTCACTGGCTTGATATGGTAGATCAATGCATTTTGGTGAAAATCTGGAGTATGACTCCATTGTGTGACTAACGTATGTTGTTGGGTAAATCTGTCTTATTAAGATAAGCCACCATTAAGACCAAATATAATTGCTGCATTTTGAAATTTGAATACTTTACAGTAACCAGTGTCTAATTAAGGACAACTGGTCAATTCAATATTACTAATATATTGTACATCAACCTACAGTCGAAAGAGGAAATGGCTGACAGCTTGAAAATTCAGCCACAAGACTAGCTTTTTAAGTTTCAAATAACTCTTTGTCAGAGTCTTAAGAAGTAATGACTCCTCTCCTTTTTATGAATCTAAAAGCCAGCTAAAAGCCAGTCTCTAGCACTAATCAGAACTCATGGGTCCCTTGTAAGAAGAGACAGCAGAAGTAAAGAAAAATGTGATTTCAGCAAAGTTGAGGAATGGAGAATTTGCTAAATATAGAATCAAAGTTGAGCCATATCACCTAGTCGTTGTGGGGCATGGTTTCTTCCCACACCAAAATAATGTCTTGAAACTTTTCACTTTGTCTAAGTAAACTGGGAGTCCTTTTATGGTGGGGGTGACATTGCCTGAGGAATGTTTCCTAAGTTACTTATGGGGGGGGGGGAGGAAATCCTGGAAGATATTAGTATATCATAGGCCATACATAATCTAGGGACTTGAGTGATCAGGAACAAAGTGGAGGAGGGAAAATGAAGGGCATCATTTAAAAGCATGGGAAATATGAGAAGACTGTCTAAATTGACAGAATATTCAGTCCATGGCTCCTCTGTTAGTATATATTAGCAAACTATGCTTGAATTTAATGTATACATATGCCTTAAGTATCTTTTTATAAAATCTTTCAAACCAATTTGGTGGGGGCAAATACATTAAGTGCAAAGTTTAAAAGTTGGCACAGTTAAAGTGCCTATAAAATGCTAGCACCCAAATGCCAAAACAAAGCAATTGATGCCCTCAATGACCACAACCCTATACTCAGTGTGGCATGAAATTCCAAAAGGAACTGAGGACTCTACATATTCAAAAGAGGACACCTTCCTAACCATCAGGAGAATGTGGAAATATTAAGTATGCTTTATATTTGTGGGTAGGAGAGAGGAAATTAGATATCATATATTCATATAATATAATTTGTGGGCTTTAAATATGGCACACTGTGGATTAATGGTTTTTATAACTTCTAGTTTGGGTGCATAGTTAAATGGTAGCTGCTGAATACCCAATTTGCATTCTCTTGCTTTTGGGTAAGATAAAGGTAAAGGGACCCCTGATCATTAGGTCCAGTCATGGCCGACTCTGGGGTCGCAGCACTCATCTCGCTTTATTGGCCGAGGGAGCTGGCGTACATCATGTGGCCAGCATGACTAAGCTGCTTCTGGCGAACCAGAGCAGCACACGGAAACGCCGTTTACCTTCCCGCCGGAGCGGTACCTATTTATCTACTTGCACTTTGATGTGCTTTCGAACTGCTAGGTTAGCAGGAGCAGGGACCGAGCAACGGGAGCTCACCTCGTCGCAGGGATTCGAACTGCCGACCTTCTGATCGGCAAGTCCTAGGCTCTGTGGTTTAAACCCACAGAGCCACCCACGTCCCTTTTGCTTTTGGGTAATGGTCATTTTTCTTAACTTTAATCTTACTTCTGCACTTGAAGGAGGAGTTCTTGTTGTTTTTTGAGGGGGGAGAGGGTTGCTGTTGATTATACATGAATGACACTTGATATACCTGCCTTTGCAAAGCAATGTCTGTTGAGATATTTGGTCATATTATGACTCTCTCAGCTGAAAACGCGCTGCACAGCTAGGATTATAATGGCAATCATTATAACAAGACGACTTGGTTTCTTTGTACAGCTCTTCCGCTGTTTGAACAGCACAATACAAAACATTTAACATTCCGCAGAAGACATAGCCCAACCACTAAAATCTTATTTGGCTTTTGAGCATATCTTTGCAGTTATAAGTACCAGAAGCTTGTTCTTTTCTTTTCTCTTTTGAGTTGAAACTTGAGATCCCCAGGAAGCTCAATTCTGTGCTCTTTCTACAGCTCTGGAAAACAGCAGTATGCCGACAACAAGGCTTATTTGTTTGTCTTTGTCCTCTACTGTATCATGCTTAGCCTCACATCCTTCATAAATTAGGATTCAGTGGCTATTGTTGTTGTTGTTTTTTAATAATTTTTATTAACCGGCCAATCACATCAAATCACATCACATAAATTCCGAATTACAAAGCCGAATTTTAAATTTTGTTGAGGGAACCCATATTTCAAGATCCGAAGGGGGATTCTGATCGTCTTCTTGCTACTGTGTTAATGTCCAAATCAGTCCAAACAAAGTTCATAATTCTATCCAGACTTATCTTGCTGTTTCCACATCACATCTTGTTCATATATTTTCTCTTTTTTCTTTATGATCTCTTCTGATAGTCTCCTTAAGCCGATAAACACCAATAATAATCCTGTGTGAATTTTTCCGTTCTTCCAGTCCTCAAATCGAGATGGTTTCCATATATCATCGCCTTCATAAATAACAGCGCTCTTTCCATCATTAATTACAGAACTGTCGTTCTTAAGTCCCACTGAGGAGTTTCATCCACAATATAAAAACAGCTCTATTTCTCTATTTCTCCTCTCAGACTTAAGTCCTCCGACAGAACTTCCCAATATGGCGACGGTATTTTTAACTGCGTCATTCCAAAGCCCTTATACATTCCACGCTCTTCTTAAGACATGCTCTGGTTCAAAAGTTTATCTCCACACAGCCTTAAAAAGGATTCAGTGGTTATTGTTAATGTATTCTGTCTTGGATTATAAACTTTAAGGCTGCTGTTGGGTAATCAATTTAACTATGTACATTACAGCAGGCATGTGTTAAGGAGAAGAGCCTGCTCATCTTGTATGGTCATCCATTGAATTCCCAATAAAACTCTTTTTGCTTCTTTGCCATCACTGGTGGCCTACCTTTGAGTTGATGGTTCTCACATTGTGTAAGCTTCCTTTGCACCAGTCAGGCACAGCCTCATTGGGGGTGGAGGGATGAAGTAGCTTCATCTAACAAGAACCAGAGATGGAATTGTAATCGTACCCATCTTTTGTGTGTGTCTTCTGCCCTGCTGCTACTTCCCCTCAACTCAGAAGGGTCCTGTGTTCAAGGGGTGATATACTGGGAAATTACAACATGTTTCCTTCTAAGCAACCCCAATGCTATCATGTGAAGATCGGTGTTTTCATTCTGTCTTAAGGGTCTGTTATAATTCAAGGAGTAAGAGTCAGATGTTCATTCAACCTGGCATGGCAATGACCAATCTAAAGCATCTATCCTCGTGATGAAGAGAACTTTCTCTTCTAGTTGAAAGAGTAGCTGCTGCCATGGAGCCACCATGTGCTGCATACAGTGGTACCTCAGGTTAAGTACTTAATTCGTTCTGGAGGTCTGTACTTAACCTGAAACTGTGCTTAACCTGAAGCACCACTTTAGCTAATGGGGCCTCCTGCTGCCGCCGCGCCGCCAAAGCATGATTTCTGTTCTTATCCTGAAGCAAAGTTCTTAACCTGAAGCACTATTTCTGGGTTAGCGAAGTCTGTAACCTGAAGCGTATGTAACCTGAAGCGTATGTAACCCGAGGTACCACTGTATATGCCAGTTGAGTGCTCACTCAGGAGCAACTTATGCTTGAGGCAGGTAAGGAGACAACCAAATTTTCATGGCTTATTTAATCCTGTTGGATTTAGGAATGGTCTTTGAGTACATTTCTGAGCACAATTCAAAGTGTTGGTGCTGACCTTTAAAGCCCTAAATGGCCTCAACCCAGTATACCTGAAGGAGCATCTCCACCCCCATCATTCACTGAGGTCCAGCGCCGAGGGCCTTCTGGCGGTTCCCTCACTGCGAGAAGTGAGGTTACAGGGAACCAGGCAGAGGGCCTTCTCTGTAGTGGTGCTCACTCTGTGGAACGCCCTCCCATCAGATGTCAAGGAAATAAACAACTACCTGACTTTTAGAAGACATCTGAAGGCAGCCCTGTTTAGGGAAGTTTTTAATGTTTAAAGTTTTATTCTGTTTTTAATGTTCTGTTGAAAGCTGCCCAAAGTGGCTGGGGAAACCCAGCCAGATGGACAGGGTAGAAATAATAATCATTATCATCATCATCATCATTATTATGTGTACACAGTTTGAAATTTTGCTGTGTTACTGCAAATGCTTACATCCTCACTATCACCAACTCACCAGTTTGTAATGCAATCTACTCTTAGGCCGTGTGTCAAAAACATGGCAGATTCTGGAAGGAATGACAAGGCTGATTCAACAGGCAAATGTCCCAAATCCAGTATCTCAACACACTGCTGTAATTGAGCCTTTAACTGGATGCAGGGTTATAGCTTTGGAGTAAGAAGAGATTTCTAAATATGATACTGTTTTCAAAATCATCGGATTGAACTGAAGTTGCCAAATAACAGAGCACCCAGTCAAACTCTAGTTGCATCCAGTTAGTCATTCTTAACAACCAGATGTCCCAGATGTGCATATCTCCTCTGAGGTTCACTCAATAAATTGTTTTCTTTCTTCCAATTGTAGCACCCTGCTTGTGGTTAACGCTTAGCTGGAATGAAATATTCAACGCAGCAACAGAGAAATTAAAATAATAATTTATTTGTCAGACAAATAAATAAGAGGCACAGTGGTATATGATTACCAAGCTCTGGCCTGGCCTCCTGCCATTATGGCCAGCACTTATATTCCCTTAATCCAGCCCCCTTTGTTCCTCCTGTGGCTGCCTCTGTCCCATCAGCCTGGTTGAAATTCCTATTGGCTGATTAGTATAACCAATCACAAAAATACACTCATATCCTCCTGTCCTTATAAGGGAGACAAAGAGCTATATATAAATGACAAATAAGTAATAATATATCTTACATGGAATCTTAATTACCAGCTCACCTCTTGCCCTCCTTGCCCTACTGCCTTCTAAAACAAATGGTTAATCTTAAATTTTTATCTTAAACATATGTCAAGGATCTTGAGTTTCACATCAATATTGAAAGATCTCCTTCATTTGAAGGTTTCTAAACAAATATCTGACAACTTATATATCAGAATTGCTCGGATGGCGTCTTCTTGTCTGGCAGGGGGCTGGACTCAATGGCCCCTGTGGTCTATTCCAACTCTAGGACTCTATGATTCTATGAAATAAGAATCTAACATCTAAATTTGTTACTTTCTAAATCCTTTGCATAGTTACATTTAAGCCAGCATATTTAATACACAACACAGGTAGCTTCTTTAAAAGAATAACTCAGTAAAAAGGAACACAGTAAAAAACCGTTTTAAAAGAAGCCTCTTCCCTGTTCATACTTCCCCCCCTTCTCCAGCCAGTCGCTTTCTCTTCCAAGTGCTCTTGACCTTTTGTCCTGTGACTCAAGTTTAAGGCACATGGTTTTATTTTACTGTTTACCTACCATTTTTACAACTTAGTTGTACTCTACAGCATGCAAGGTCAGTGACCTATATTGTGATCATAACTTAGCATTATTATTAATAAGGAGCTCTGGTACGTGAGATGAAATTGATCTATTGAGGCTGCAGTCTACGTGCACTTACTTGGGAATAAGCCCCAATGAACATAGTAGGCGACTTACTTTTGCAGGGAAACACGTTGGGGGTGGTTTTGCTGTTTGGTAAGGTTAAATATTGTTTCTGCCACATGACTTCCTGGCTTCTTTTCTTTTCCCCCACCCTCTTTAGGCACCGACTGTGATGTTTGGAATTCACTTCCAGACACTTTACAGTTATTCAAGCCCCAAGAAAGAAGCAGTGTTTTATAACCCCGAGCCTTAATTTTAATACAGTATTGTATTTTGCGATTACAATAGCATAGGCCAAATTCAAAGAGGAAAGAAATGTTGGGACTGTAAACGCCTAAGTAAATCATGTAGAAATAAATATTTCAGCCAGGTTTAAAATACGTGGGTGCATAATGTTGGCTTTGGTGAAGACACCCCTTTCTCATGATTGAAGAGTTTGTTTTTATTAACCCAGTTAAGCTTGTGCTTATGTCTGACTCTTACTGTTTAATTCTAATATTTGTCTGATGCCTAGTTTTTCTACTTGGAACAATAGAGTTGTCTGTGGTGATCTGCCTTGTGAAAAGTGGAATACAAAAACTGCAGCATAAATGCTAATGATGCAGAGGTTTTTTGTGTGGTTTTTTTTAAACTGCATCATCAACATTGCCAGCTGAACACTCTGTCCCACATTCAAAATCTCTAGGACAAAAAAAGGGATACACTTTTTCATTGCTTTTGATTTCCGTCCTTCCTTTTTCTTCCCCTTGTCTGAAGCGCTCTCTCTCTCTCTCTCTCTCCCTCCCCCTCTCTTTACAAATCTCTTTGAAATCAGTAGAAGTTGAGGGAGCGCTCGTATGCACCAAAAGCTGGTGCGAAGTAATCCGGGTGTAAGTTAAGCCAGCGCACAGTTACACCAGATCCAAACCCCATTCAGCAGTAGGGCTACTACTCCTGGTCTGCCTAAGCCTGGAAGAGGGAAAAGAAGTATTTAAAATAATGTTAGGTTGTCAGGTCACATGACATAGTTGAAGGGGCGCCTAATCTCTGCTCTTTAGTCCTGCCCCACCACATCCCTGGAATGCTCCCTTCTGGGGAGATACAGCAGCCTCAACTTAGCTAGGATAAGCAAACGCTGGCTTAACTTTGACTGAGCTGAGCTTGGGTTAGATAACACTGGGTTGTATACATTTCCTACAAAAGAGACACAAACTTGATTCCTGAGTATGCTAAAGCTATCCAATATTAGATGGTTGAGTTGGAGTTCCAGGTTGCTCATCCTGGTGGATCTTGCCATAAGACTTCTCCTAAGGGTTTATACTTCTGCTCTTTGCATTTTAGTAGAACATGTTGTTGTTGTTTCGTTGTTTAGTCGTGTCCGACTCTTTGTGACCCCATGGACCAGAGCACGCCAGGCACTCCTGTCTTCCACTGCCTCCCGCAGTTTAGTCAAACTCATGCTGGTAGCTTCGAGAACACTGTCCAACCATCTCGTCCTCTGTTGTCCCCTTCTCCTTGTGCCCTCCATCTTTCCCAACATCAGGGTTTTTTCCAGGGAGTCTTCTCTTCTCATGAGGTGGCCAAAGTATTGGAGTCTCAGCTTCACGATCTGTCCCTCCAGTGAGCACTCATTCCTTCAGAATGGATAGGTTTGATCTTCTTGCAGTCCATGGGACTCTCAAGAGTCTCCTCCAGCGCCATAATTCAAAAGCATCAATTCTTCGGCAATCAGCCTTCTTTATGGCCCAGCTCTCACGTCTGTACATCACTACTGGGAAAACCATAGCTTTAACTATACGGACCTTTGTTGGCAAGGTGATGTCTCTGCTTTTTTTTTTTTAGTAGAACATAGGAACACCCTATCCTTCCTCACTGGATTGCAACCCAACTCCTACTTTAAAAGATACATTTATTTATTACATTTTTATGCTCCCTGCCATGAATATCAAAACGTGTCCATTATTTCCCTCTACGAGTTTGCAATTCTCGTTCCACTTGGTTCATAGTTGTTGTTTTTCTGCAGTCGTGAAAGTTTTTAACCTTGTTTGAAAGGAGAGCTGCCGTTTTTCCTATTTGGGTACTGTGGGCTTGGTGCTTAAAACCCTAAACCTGATATAAAGGAGTTATTCTTTTTTCCCTTAGTCTAACCCTAATGTATAAAGTTTTGTTAATAAAGTCAGATATGGGGAGGAAAAAAACTGGATTTTTTTATTCGTTTGTTTCAGGTCCGGACATGGATACTGACAGTGGGCTACACAACTGCATTTGGTGCAATGTTTGCAAAAACATGGAGAGTCCATGCAATATTCAAAAATGTGAAAATGAAGAAAAAGGTGAGTCTTTAAAAAAAAAATCATATTTCCTTCTCTCCTCTAGCCTTTTAGCTGATCATAGAAACACTGTATTGAAAACCTAGTAGGTTCTTGCAGGATGTTTACATATTAAGAATTTCTATCATCTCAGACTAGTAGCAAATCTGACAGCAAGATTCTGAGACCATACAGATCAAATATTTAATAGAGGGTGGAATATTTACAGAGAATATCTAAAAGAACGTTGTAAAAACCTAAAATCTTTGGCAGGCCTGGATTGACCTCTGCATGAAATAAGAGAATTTTACAAAATTAACACAACTGAACAACCTAGGAGAGATAAAGTAAAGTGTGCAGCTAAACAATGTAACTTAGGAATCACAATGGGGGGATTGGAAGTCTTGATGGAATTCGTTATGTGTGAAAATAATAATAATAATAATAATAATAATAATAATAATAATAATAATAATAATTATTATTATTATTATTATTATTTATTACTTATACCCTGCCCATCTGGCTGGGTTTCCCCAGCCACTCTGGGCAGCTTTCAACAAGAGATTATTATTTTTATTTTTATTTTGTTTTTATTTTTGGTAATGAGTGTTGATTTTGGATTGCCTTTTGTTGATTGTGTTGTATTGTTTTGTTCTGTGTTTTGTTTTGTTTTGTTTTTTAAAACCAATAAAGCATTAAAAAAAGAATTTCTATCTCTGTGTTGCCTGTTTTCTTACAGGTAACTGTGCTATGAAAGTTCATGGATTAGAAACTGTCATGTTGAGTGGCACTTAGCTTGGGGTTATAAGTATGATTTGGGGATGTTTTGTGATGGTGCTTTGATACTGTTCATCCCCCTAGGTCCTAGTGGAATATTGTAGGAACATTTGTTGTTCTGCTGCAGGTGCCCAGTCCAATGATGCTCCATGAAATTGGGATCAACTTGATATTATCAATATTATTGGTTGAATTCTGATATTTTATCCATATGTGTTCTGCCTTTGGTTTGATATCAATAGTTAGTTCTTAGATGGAGAAGCCAGTTGTGTTATGTGCCACTGTAGTGCAGAGGAAGTTGGTTTGGATGTGATGTGCAATTGTGATAGATTCTGAATTTTAAATAACTTGTTCTGCCAGTATGGGTATAATATACGACTGCTGCTGTGCAGTTTGGTCCTGGGCATGTTGCCATTGTCCTCATTTTATGTAATCTAGCTGTCAGTCTACTCTGGGGCAAATCCTGATCTACGGATTGCCAACAGCCTTTGTCTCCTTTCATTTCACTTGTTGGCACTGCTTTTGTTGTTATGCATGGCACTGAGAAGATTTGGCCCTTAGCCAAAAAAGGAGGCTGTCAGTGTCCTTGCCAGGTCACAGGTTGAGGGACTGTAAATTCCATCTCTGGTGGGTGCTGGTAATGCAATGTGTTGAATTGCTAGAAGCAGCCAAAATTGTGGAAATTATAGAGAAGTGAGCAAGCAGCATTTCCTGGCCTTCACGTAACATTCACCATATGCAAGTGGTTCACGTATGTCCAGGATTAAGTGTATATTGTTATGATGACATAGGATGTCCTACCACAGCAGAGGCATTTTCTGTTTGTTATAATACATTTATTTCTTGTACATTCACATTGCACTGAGATTCCACATATCTAAAGGCTTTATCCGTCCAAGATCTACCAGGTGTTAAATGAAGAGTAGACTGCTAGTAAATTTGAATGCCTGATGTGTTACAAAAAGCTCAAGAAGCGCAACAAGGAGAAACAGTTTCTTGCTGTTGCGTCCTGACAATACATACATTTGCTGGTTTAGAAACAAGAAGGCAGACGTTCACTCAAGTTGGATTTTTTGTGTGCAGTTCCCTGACTTTCTCAAGCAAGAACAAGTTTTGGAGTTTATGTGTGTAGTCTGCGGTTGTCCACCTGGTCCCTACCGCCCACTAGTGGGCGTTTCAGAATTCTAGGTGGGCGGTAGGGGGTTCTATGGCACAACCTGAATCCTTCTTCCATCAAGCACTGGTGGGCGGTAAGGAAATTTTACCATCAAGAAAGATGCATTAGTGGACAGTAGGTATAAAAAGGTTGGCAACCCCTGGTGTAGATCATTCTCCTTATGAAGAAAGAGTACTGTAATGTAAAACTTTATGGTGTGATTGTGTGTGTATCAGCTTCCGAGGTTCCCCTTCTAAGCTTACTCTTCTTGTAGTGTCTCACAGACAGAGCGAATCATCTCAAGTGGACAGCTAGGTGCCTACATCTTGCTTCTTTCCCCTGGAATCAAGAGGGGAGGGGAGGCAAAGGGATATTCTCTTTAAATCCGCTATTCTACTTTCCCTCACCCTAGTCACCGAAGAACATGAGAAGGGCCCTCTTGCAATTCAGTGAATCACAGGGGAAAACAATCACAGGGATGGGAACCTGTGGTTTTCCAGATGTTGTTGGACTTCAACCTCTCTGTTGACTATGCTGGCTGGAGCTGATGGGATATGAGAGTCTTATTACCATTTGGAGAGCCATAGGTTTGCCTTACCCGATCTATTCCTGTCTTCCTTTAATTCTGAAGTTTTTAAAATGTGAAATTGTAATTGTAAGCTGCCCTAAGCCTTGGGAATGCATGGGATAGAACATGGATGCCCTACCGGTCGATCACGATCTACTGGTCGATCGCGGGGTGGATCGCCAAAAAAAGCTCAACAACTTTGGTCAATCCAGTGGGTAGACCAGTTTATTTATAGTGGGAGTAGATTGCTGTATCTTGAAAGTTGGGTAGTGCCTGGGATAGAAGCATAAACAAAATTGGGATTCACCTGTTCTGTTGCAGGTATCCCCATCAAACCTTGACCTATCTCGAGGCCTTCAAGATTGCTTTTCATAGAAACTACAGTTGCTATGTGATCCTGGGCGCAGGTGGCGTTGTGGTCTAAACCACTGAGCCTCTTGGGCTTGCTGATTGGAAGGTCAGCTGTTTGAATCTGCATAGCTCCTGTTGCTGTGTCCCAGCTTCTGCCAACCTAGCAGTTCAAAAGCACACCGGTGCAAATAGATAAATAGGTACCCCTACAGTGGGAAGGTAAATGGCGTTTTCATTTGCTCTGGCTTCCGTCACAGTCCTCCGTGTACCAGTAGCGGTTTAGTCATGCTGGCCACATGACCCGGAAAGCTGTCTGTGGACAAACGCCAGCTCCCTCGGCCTGAATAGCAAGATGAGTGCCGCACCCCATAGTCGCCTTTGACTGGACTTAACCATCCAGGGGCCTTTTCCTTTACCATTTTACCTGGGTGTACTCACTGCATATGGACTGGAGGATATAGTGGCTCTGTGCAATAAGACTCCAGGATCGGTTTGCAGGAAGCAATCAATGGCATGAAACTAGGCATGGGGTCTGTAAGCAGCTGCCAGGACCTAGCAAAACAATTGGACTCTGTTCTAGACATCCAATGGATAGCCTGAAAGCTAATCAGATAAATTCACATTACTAGTGGATTGGAACTAACATGGTTCACTCATCTGTATTAATTTGACATTTGGCCTGTGCTGACTGTTGTACTCAAAGGTAACTGCCAGTGATTTCAGTGGGACTGAATTTAAGATTGCAACCCTAAAAGCTTTATTAGCACTATGAAGCCAATCACTTTTATTCTTAAGAATAATATTGGATGTTTTCGTAGTTCTTTCTGATTTACTAAATAAATAAACGGGGAAATGGGGTGTTTTGCAGAGGTAAAAATCTCCATGCTAAATAAAATGAGCACCACCAAGTGCACTATTAAGAGACCATCTGCTGAAAATGAACCAACATATGGCGATTTGCATTTCAATTTTTTCTAGCATTGTAGCTTACTTCAAAATAAGAAAAAAATAGAAACCTGCTTAAAATTATAATGAGGGAATTAGTAGTATATTAGCTGAATTTTCATAGCAAATCTGCCCTGTAGTGTACTGGGTTTGATATTATACAGCTTAGTTAGTGAAATTTGTATTTTAGTTAAAGGAGCAATGAGCAGGATAAAGTTTCTTTATTTTATGTCATAATCTGTTTATAGAGGTTGTCGACATGTGAACAAGAAGGATAAAATGGGTTGGAGCCAGATTGATGCTGGATCCACACCTACCAGGGAGTAAGTCCCATTGAAGAGAAGCAGAATTTGTTTGGTGTTGTAGCCCTGATTCATAAAAAACAGCCCTTTGATCACCAATTTGCTGGCAAGAATGTAAGAGGCCAATTAAGTAGGCTCCACTGTGGCAGTGCTGAGCAAAGGGTGAAACAGTGCCACAATGTAAGGGTGGCACACAGATGGAAATGATTCCATGGGAAATTAAACACTTCTTATGTGCAAATATTTCATTTTGGATACAGGTCCAGACTGTTAGCTGCATGTAGGTGGCGTTGAAACCAATAGGGCAAGTTAGTCACGACCTCATCCTATTTATGCCAATATGAACAAAGTACAACTAATTTAAACCAAATTCTAAACAGGCTTATTTAGGAGCATGACATTTTCTTCTTTGCTTCTTCAGCTAAAGTTCAGATTAATTCTCTGGACCTCTCCTGCCTTAATTACAGCAAGCTTCTTTTGTCTCCCCTTTTTTGCCTCACCTTAATATAAGAATGAGATGCGGGTGGCGCTGTGGGTAAAAGCCTTAGCGCCTAGGGCTTGCCGATCGCAAGATCGGCGGTTCGAATCCCCGCAGTGGGGTGCGCTCCCGTTGTTCGGTCCCAGCGCCTGCCAACCTAGCAGTTCGAAAGCACCCCCGGGTGCAAGTAGATAAATAGGGACCGCTTACTAGCGGGAAGGTAAACGCCGTTTCCGTGTGTGGCTCTGGCTCGCCAGAGCAGCGATGTCACGCTGGCCACGTGACCCGGAAGTGTCTCCAGACAGCGCTGGCCCCCGGCCTCTTGAGTGAGATGGGCGCACAACCCTAGAGTCTGTCAAGACTGGCCCGTACGGGCAGGGGTACCTTTAGCTTTAATATAAGAATGGGGAGCCAGTGTGGCCCTCCAGATGTTGTTGAATGCCAATTCCCATCAGCTCCAACCAGCGTAGCCAATGGTCAGGGATGATGGGAGCTGTAGTCCAGCAATATCTGGAGAGCCACCATCCCTGCTTTAGTCCCATGAGGTTGATGGGATGAAATAGGTTGATGAAGCTGGGCATTTGCTGGGGACAGACACAGGCAAAGGACCCATCCTGCCACAAGAAATCATTTTCTGCTTTGTGCATAGGACATAAAGAAATGACTCTATGTCAGTCAGACCTTCCTGGCATCCTGTACAAAGCAAGTCCTTGACCCTTGACAGTTGTTGGAGTGTCATAAAAGACTCTTAGGAGATGGGCTGAACATTGTATGAAGCACCCAGCACAAGCGAGGGTGCATCTTTGCCCCCACCCAAGCCCTCTCAAAGGGCAGGAAAGCATTCCCTTATGTTGCTTCTGAAAAACCGACATGCTGTTTCAGTGTTTAGAGATGGAACTGGATGATGCCACTATATATTTTCTGCTTTTCACTTTTTGGATTCAAAAAGTTGAATTGAGTCCATAACTATAGCTTCTGCTGGAAGCTGTTACGAATGTATTTCTGAGTTCCCTTAACCTGAACATGAAAAGCATTGGTGTCTATGAATGCAGGATATGTGTATATATATATATATATATATATAATTCTGAGTATTACTGTCTGTTCCACTATCATCATTCTGCATGATTTAGATGTTTGTGCTCTTCAGACAGCACCGGCGAGCAGGAAATGTAGCTTGCAAGATGACCTTTTCTTGTATTCCGGTATCACAAAGACCTTTTTTTGTGCATAATTAAAAAGGCTTGTTAGCACTGTTACATACCTTTTATTTATGGCACTTAAGAAAGGCGCCACAGGAATCTCAGACTTAATATGGGAATGCCCTCCTATGCTCTCTGCTTTTTTTCTCCCTAGATCATTAAGGACCAAAAGCTTCTGGTAATAGTTGGGGGAATGCTGCTGATAGATCTTTGCATCTTGATTTGCTGGCAAGTAGTTGATCCCTTGAGGAGGACGGTGGAAAATTACAACATGGAGGTATGTCGTCACAACTTCTACCATTTTCACATTTGGTGTTGCAATGCAAGACAATGGATGAAAATATATTGAAAGAGGTCAGGCATGGGTTTTTCGAGTGGACTGGAAAGGAAAATAATAATAATTCATAACAGAAGAAAATTGCATCTGCACTCTAAATACAGTCCTGCATCTCTGCCATGCTTAAGAGGTTTTAGATGCAGTAATGTTGTAAACACAGGGGAGTTCTCTGCTAAGAGTCTATAAGAGACGGTGTTGCAATAAATAATAGATTTTCAGACTCCATTAGGAGAATTCATGGGGAACTAATGCAAGCTAGACATAAAATGAAGACTTAAAATAAAGTCATCTGCTTAAAAAAAACAACCTCTATATGAAGAACTAAGCTTCCATTGCTATTGTGGATCTTTGGGTATTGTAATTGCAATATCCATTATTTTACTTGGCCTAGTTCACTTATGTACTGTATAATGTCTGGTCCTCTAATGTCATCTCCTGCAAAAGGTCACCCTGGAAATATAAAGGTCAAGGATGGCAGGCCTGGTAGCATGCTACTTGACTCATCAGACTTTCTGGTTATATGTGATATATTCTCTGGAAGAAAAGTCTTCAGAAAGTAGAAGGTTTTGAAGGCAAGAGAAATGGAAACCTTTAGCGAAAGGGGTTCTCTGTGTACAGTTACATCAGTATGTTGGAATAATTAATCTAAAATGGTTTTTCTGTTACCGTGTTTGCTTACAAGTGAGCAAAAATAGTTTTTGCATCAACATAAGTGCTACCTTTTCTAATTTCTCTGCTTCCCATTTTCTACTATGTCACCATTCTTATCACATGGTAGCGAAAGTAGCAGGGTTCTGGTGCGGCAGCATTTACTAAGGTTTGAAATGTGACTGCGTAGGTTTGGAGAGTCTCTAGTAGTTGTGGGAGATTGTGACTATTTTGATGCATGCAAGAGGCCACTCATTTCTTAGGAGCAGTTCCCTGTTTATGAAATGCCTTCCCTGGTGAGGCTTCTCTCACTAGCTCTAGCTCATGCTCTCGCTCTCATTATTAACATTCAGAAGGAATTTTAAAACATTCTTGTTCACCCATGCATTTTATGGCTGAAATATAGTGTTCCTGGTGACCTTGAAATTAGTAGCTGTGAGGATATGAAACTGTTTTCAGGTGTTTTTACTTTGTATTGTTTTGTTGCTTGCCACCCCGGGCTTGTTTGGGAGGAAAGGTAGGATAGACATAAATAAATGAACATTCTCTGAGAATCTGCAGCAGAGATAACCAACATAGTGCTGTCTCTGGCCATTGGTCATGCTGGTCAGAGCTGGAGAGAGCTGGAATCCCAACAAAATCTGGAGGGCACCATGTTGCCTATCCCTGATCTATGCAGTGTTCTCTGAATGACAACTTATATTGTTGATATAGAATCTGAGTGAGAGATGAGCAAGAGACCACTCCAAATATTTTTCTAGGATTGAGGAAGTAGCCAGACACTTGTTTTGAAATGTGCTTGCTTAACTGTACTTCATACTGTTGACAACAATCGTGCTGCTATATTTCTGAACCAGAGATAAGTTATCTTCTGTGTTCTTCTGGGTCACTTTGCCAAAGATGGGCAGGTACAATAAATAGTACAATAAAGTTGACATATGCTAGCAATAAGGATGGCAAATTCATGGAAGATGTGCACTCAGCCAGGGATTATTTTTTTCATCTGGATTTCACCAGAATCAGTTCTGGCACCTCTCACGTGGGTGCCATTACCATTCTAAGAGAATGAGGGAGTTGTTCATGATGAGTTTGGGCACCTCATTGTCTCTTACAACTTGATTCCCCCCACCTTTCCCTTATGAATGAATGTGTTGCAGTGATTTGTGCAAGACCACTTACTGTATTACTGGCAGAATGGTATTGTGGGCTTTCTGTTCTCACTGGAGAGATAGCCTTTAAGGGAACTTCTTTGCATCCGTAACTGTTTCATACATGCAGTCAATATAAGTATCTGTATAATAGTGCAATGATTTCAACCTACATTAATCACTTCAAAATCTGGTACTTTAATATCTTATCTTAAAGTAGGCCTTACCTCACCTGAATATTGAATCTCCTTAGACTGGCAGAACTCCTTTATCCCATCTGACTTTATAGCCGGATGAGGTAGCCTTCTAATACAGGGGTCAGCAAAAATTATCCACAGGGGGCCGGTCCAAAGTCCCTCAGACCTTGGGGGGGGCAGACTATATTTTGGAGGGAACCCCCCCCCCATCGACTCTCCCCTCCCTTCTCCACAGCACTGGATGAGACCTTGTGGCTGTTACCTGTGCCTTGTGAGTGGCAGGGGCTGGCGGTGGCAGCAACGGAGGGATGATGAGCGGCGCAAAAGGGCTGGCTCCGAAGAGGGGCTGCTTAAAATGGCGCTCAGCCAACCGAGGCTCAACAAAGCCCAGCCCCCTTCCTCCTCTAGGCAGGACGGGGAGAAGCCAGGGGGAGGGAGGGAGGAGGTGTCACCATGGTGTGTGTGTGAGGGAGGGGGGATGGCGCAGCCCAAACGATCAGAATCCCCATGCCGATCCACACGCCGATTTCCAGACCGTCTGCGGTCCAGATCCAGAAGGCAATTGGGCCGGATCCGCGCCCCCCCCCCCGGTCCTTAGTTTGCCGACCCATGTTCTAATGCATATCTGTCTGACAGCCAGCCTTGCAGGCTGTCAGTTCAATTCATGGCATGCCCTTGTTCAAACAGGCTCCTGCCACACACACATATATGCCAACGCCTGTCTTTGCCTCATTAGACGTCTTTTGTTCATGGCAGCTGTTTCTGCTGCTTGAGTAGGATCCTTCATCCATCCTTGCATCTTGAATTCTACTGGCCTGTAGAACTTTTGGCACATCAAGCCCACACAGTACCTCACCACCAATGAATAGTGGTCTGCTGTGGGTTCGAAAGCCCTCTTGTTTTTTGCAATCCCAGGCAGGCAGCTAAAACAAGCAGCTTTAGCAAGCATCCAGTATGATGAAGGGTCCCAAGTTGTGCACATAGTTCTCCCCATAGGTAGGGGGGAACATCATTTATTTAGTAAAGTAAAGAGACCCTACCATTATCTTAGTCTGACCAACTCTTTATTTTCGGCCTTTTCACTCGCTTAATTGGCTAGGGAGCTGCATAAGTTCCGGGTATGTGGCCAGCGTAAAACTAAATGCTTCTTGCGAACAGGCAGCGCTGAAACGCCATTTAACTCTGGGAGCCGGGTACCTATTTATCTACTTGCACTTGACGTACTTTTTGAACTGCTAGGTTGGTCCAGGGACCGAGAGGAGCCTTGCCATGGGGATTCGAACTGCCGACCTTCGATCAAGCAAGCTTACGGGAACCACAGAGTGTCCTTAGTTGTTATTGGTGCCATTTAACTTTTCGCCTGCTTACCAGCCAGTTAAAGCAAATAAATAACTACCTGACTTTCAGAAGACATCTTAAGCACCCTGTTCAGGGTAGTTTTTTAATGTGTGATATTTTATGTATTTTGGTTTCTAATGGAAGCCGCCCAGAGTGGCTGGGGAAACCGCAGATGCCATAAAGATCAAAACAAAGCAGGAGAGTATGTGATAGAGGACCAAAGTCTTGCTGGAAGGAAAGGTCTCAAAATGATGACAAAGAAACGCCAGAGAGTGGCCAAAGGTACCTCCTAAAGAAAGTTCAAACAGAGTTGGCAAAGCTTACAGAGAAGCAGACTCTTAATGTTCTCACTAAGCTATATTTGGAAGTCAAGGGAACAAAAGGGAATGAACAGACAATGAACAGATTTTAAATGTTTAAAAACCAGGCAATAGGGAACCTCTCTGCCCCTAACAGCCAAATTAAGGCTAACAGTGTCTCCTAGTTTAACCCTGAGGCTCCACAGCATTCCCACCTGCCCCACACTGAAGTCATAATATGATGTCAGGGGGCAATAAGGGCACAACTGCAAGGGAATAAACAGGAGTCTGAAATGGCCTCCCAGTTGTCCCTTGGCAAGTGGGACTTTTATTCAGTATCTTTTAAATATGGTGCCAATCCAAGTCTCACTGAGGTTGGTTGCACTTTAAAAATTTATTTTACCACCACTGCCTGTTACATATTCATAAAACTGTCAATGTTTGCGTATTATTTTCACTAGATTACAAGGTGAAGCATTAATCATTAGCAACTCAAGATAAATTAAAAACACAAACAAAACGATTCACAGATATGGGCAATTAATCTGCTCAAACCAGTGGCTGTAATACTCCCCTGAAGAATTCCTAGTGAGAATTATCACCTGTGTTAACAGTAGGAGGGCCGTCTTTCCATGTGTGTTTTTAGTGAATTTAGTTCATTTTTGTTCTGGAATTATTTTTCATTTTTTTAGTAAGAGTTCCTGGCCATTTCCTTCTCTTATCATTTAAGGCAGGAAAAAAACAGAATGACAGGAACTACATCTGTTGCTGCCCCATAGTCGCCAGCTGCTTCTGTTGATTTTGACTCAGTTACAGAACTGGGTTGTGAATGATTTACTAATCTTCCCCAGTCACTTGAGGGAAAGGACCTTCTCCTCCAGTGTCTCTGTGCTATTAGTTTCCAGTTTAATCCCCCTCTTTCGTCGCAAAACGTTGTGACGTGAACTTGGGACATAAATCAAGAGGATTAGAGGGATGTGGAAGTCTGCAGCGTCACTCAAAACATACTGATAATGCTGATAATCACATATCATTAGCCCAAATAGATATTTGCTGTGATATGCGGATTCTGCACACCCAGGACTGTGTAAAGTTTGACATCCAGCTCTACAGTTCTGTGATTCCGTGTTATGACAAGTGAGGAGAGAAAATGACGGGTACCCCCAAAAGTAATGTGCCCCCCCCACTTTAAGACTACAGCAGCATCCCCTGCTACTGACCCTGGTATTAATATGGCAGTACTGTGTTTGTGGAAGGGACGTGGGTGGCGCTGTGGGTTAAACCACAGAGCCTAGGGCTTGCTGATCAGA